GACCACTCTGGGCGACATCTTATAAGACACACATGATGACCCACCTGTTTGCAAATGATGTAGCTTTAACTAAAAGGAGGATGTTTCCTCCTTCAAATGAGTATTGTCCATCTGTTACTTTGCAAGAGGTCATTTTTGAGAGCTTTTCCCCCCCACAGACTTCAGCCTAGTAGCTGGAGTATGGGATCAGGACTCGGGAAGACCTGAGTTTACATTCCTGCTTGGCCATGAAGCTTAGTATTTGACTTTGGGTTAGTCGCATTTTCTTAGCCTGGCCCTACTTCACGGGGGTGTGTGTGTGTGCTGTGAGGATGGAACAAGGAGATGAGCCACCTACAGCTCTTTGATCTCAGCAGACAAAGGCCAGCCTTTAAGTGTGTCAGATAAAATAAATAATTCTGCCTAGTTTCCTGTTTAGAAAGAAAGTTCTCGGCTAGTCCTGGGGCAGGAACGGGAAGCTAAGGTGGAACTAGGCCCCTAGCTCATCCTTAAAGGCTTTTAGTTGAGGCCTTACACCCAGGTGAGCTACATTTAGGGGCCTGCCTCTCTGCCTGTCAGAACTCCCAGAGTGGAGAATTATGGGATTGGTAGTCCAAAAAAGCTCATCCCTAGTAGCCACCTCACCTAGGTTTAAAGCAGTGGTTCTTAACCTTTGTTACTCGGATGTTTTTGAACTGCAACTCCCAGAAACCCCAGCCAGCACAGTTGGTGGTGAAGTAACCCAAGGTTAAGAACCAGTGGTTTAAAGGCTCACACATTTTTTTCTCTCCTCTTCTGTCCGCCTTCCCTCTTTCAGGAACAACTGCAGGGTCAAGATTTCAGCCGGTTTCAGCCGCTCAAGAGTAAGCTGCTGGATGCGGTTGACGACATGCTGGCCCACGATATTGCTCAGCTCATGGTGCTGGTGCGCCAGGAGGAGTCCCAGAGGCCGGCCCAGATGGTGAAAGGAGGCGCCTTTGACGGCACTCTGCAAGGGCCCTTCGGCCACGGCTATGGCGAAGGAGCAGGGGAAGGGATCGACGACGCCGACTGGGTGGTGGCCAGAGACAAGCCCATGTACGACGAAATCTTCTACACGTTGTCCCCCATCGATGGGAAGATAACGGGAGCCAATGCCAAGAAGGAGATGGTGAGGTCCAAGCTGCCAAACACGGTCTTGGGCAAGATATGGAAACTCTCCGATATCGACAAGGACGGCATGCTGGACGACGAAGAGTTTGCCTTGGCCAACCATCTCATCAAAGTCAAGTTGGAAGGCCATGAGCTTCCCAACGAGCTCCCCTCCCATCTCATCCCGCCCTCAAAGAGGAAACTAGCCGAGTGAGGAGGGCCTGCCTGCAAGAAACGCGGGAAGCCAGGGGGGGAGGGAGGTCAGGGGGAATGTACCTAAATTGTACCTATTGGGACCTGTGGGGGGGGGTCACCTTTTTTTTTGGCTTGTAACAAGGTTCAGGCATGAAAGACCAACAGAGGCCAGGATTAGATGCAGTTCAGATTTGCTTGGAATGATCCTTACTTTGATAGATCTTGATTGCAATAGAAACGGAGAGAGCGTCGCGGGCTATGAACTGTACGCCTGCGAGCGGGGGGAGTGGCTGTTGCGGTTTCGGTCAAGCATGTTGGATCGCTTCCCTTGGGTTTATCCCTGATGCTTTAAATAAGCCGCAGAGCCTCGGATGGATCCCAAGCCAAACCTTAGAGAGAGAGAGAAAGACCTCTATTTTGGGGAGTGTTTTCATAATTTGCACTTTGGTCTTAAGTGTTATTTTTTGTCATCTGCTCATCAATGTTCCGTCTTCCTGCCTGTCATGTCTTTTTAATTGTGTTTTTTTTAAATTACATACTTGTGGTACAAAAGGGTTTGCAGGATAACACTGTGGGAGGGCCTCTTTTAGCCATAGGAAATTGATCGCTCCTGATCGTTTGCATTTCATTTGGGAATGATGGGAGATCACGGCTCAACGTATGTCGTAAGAGGACCTGTTTCCGTGGTTTCGGGACTGTGGATTCCGTGCCTTCCAGAGGGTGGCTCCACATGGGTTTGAGATCCCCAGTGTACGGCTTTGGCGTTCTTGGCTTCCACCCTACTCAATGCCTTCCCAAAGAGGCGAGAGACCTCCCTGTGCAACCTGGTTTTAGACCCTCGCGTCCTGACTGATACATTTTTATTATTACTACTAGGATTAATGCAATTGTTCCTTCTATTTATAGGAAGTCATTATGTAGAAGTGGGCTGATTTGTGTTTCGGACCACAGCTCCCGGAGGCCTCTGGGCAGCACGTCTGCCTACGGGAGTTGTAGTTCAACACACACATCATCCGACCTCTACCAGGAAGTGAATGGAGAGATTAGATGATAGCTCTCCTAATCCTGAGATGGCGTGGCTTTGACTCTGGTGGGATGGACATTGATGGACCATAGCGGGAAAGCCGGTTGAGGAAGGCCAGGTGAGGAGCTCAAGAGAACCTCCTCTCTTGGAAGGGGAAGGCTAGACAGAGACACCATCAGGAGGAGGAGGCAGATTGGCTTCTGCCCTTTCTGCCCTTTCCTGTTCTTGAAAAAGGCCAGTAATTTTAACAGCTCCTTGAATGTTGGCCCCACTGCTCTGTGTGTGTTTTGTGTGTACACACCTAACATTACAAGTCTCCAGATCTGGGGTCCCCAGATGTCCGTGAACTACCACTCCCATAAATCCTGGCCAGCACCGCTAGCGGGAAGCGCTTATGGGAGTTGCAGTCCAATAACTGGGGGGACCCAAGGTTGAGATCCACTGTTCTGGAATCCCATTTCCTTGCCTGTTCTTTCCTCCACTGGAAAAACATGGGGTACAGTATCCTAGGCCAGTTCTCTTCTCTAAACTTCCGACCACAGCTTTTTACAGGCTCCTGGGCTCACGATGTCTACGTGGAATGATTCTGAACCTTGTCTGGATCTGGAGACCCTGAGCCAAGCTGCGTCCGGCTGCTCCCCCTCGCCTTCACTTTGCGCGATGCCTCTTCTCTGCCTCCCCCCTTGTTTCGTTGGTGTCGGCCGCAGGATTGCGACCTTGGTTGCTTCGTATATGCTCAACCTCTACTGTGACCTGCAGGCGATGGAGGAGACCGGGACAGAACAAATTATAACTTATTTTATATCTCCATGTTAATATTATATAGAGAAATATATATTCAGTGTCTGTAAAGCAACTTTATCGGAGCGCATCTATTGTAATCTTAAGAAAAAGTTAAATTCATTAACCCTTTTTGTACCTGCATCCTAAAACATTATTTTTACAAAAAAACCCCAAACCAACGAGGTCTACTCTGTTTTGTTTGCTCTTCTTGTGTGTAAGTGAAGTTTGAAGGTGCTTCCAGCTGAGCAATTGTGCAATCGGTGTGCTTCACGCATCAAAGCTCACAGGGGCCCAGATGTTGTCTATGTCCAAAGCCCCACCAAGAACTGGCGCTTCTCTGGACTGTGGGTGCACGTCAGGGTTGCAAAAAAACAAAAACCTAACCTTTCCAAAGGTTTTCCACTTGGAAACCCTTTCAGGTTTCCCCAACACTTTCTTCTGTTTTTTTGGGTTTTTTGTGGTTTGACAACAAAATCCAAAACCAAAAAACGGTCAAGTAGGAAAAGATAGTTTTTATTGTTATTATTGTTAATGAAAGACAATTAGCAGTTGGATCTTCAGAGTCTAGGGAAGTGGGGTAACCTTGGGCCGGTCACGCTTTTTCAACCTACCTCACTGGGTTGTTGTGAGGATAAAATAGGGAGGAGCTATGTAGGTCTCCTGGGGGGAAAAGGTGGACGAATCACTGTACTTAGGAACGGCAGGAGTAGGAGCCGTCTGTCCAATGCACCCTCAACTGGGCCAGGGTATGTGTGTATGTGGGTGCAATTCTGTTTGTATGTGAACTTGTTTGTACAACGTCTGCAAGTGACCCAAAGCATCCGTTGTGCGGCCTTTCACCTTTGTGTTGCTAAAATTTGAGTTCCAAAACTGACTGACTGACTGGAAATCTCATTGTAAATAAAATGGATCAATGTCATTTGCCTGTTGGTTTTAATTTCATTGGGATTCCAGATCTCTTTTCTCTAGCAGCTGGTGGGGGAGAATGAAGAAAACACACCCACCCACACAAACACGGATATGTCTTGTGTTTCTTATTTAATGATGTTTCTGTGGGACCTGTCGCATGATGCACATCTGGATGACATCCCACAATGAAAACGACGGTCTGAAGAGGCACCGGAGCTGAAACTAAACACACACAAAAAAAGTCCCCAGGCCTTCAACCAAGGGTCAAAAGTCTGGGCATGTTGAGCTATTGAATGCCAACCCAAATAAAATTTATTTCTTGAACTTCTATATCGCCCGATTAATGCAAGGCTCTGCTCTGAGTGGTTAACCATGAACTAATATAACAATAATAAAGGAAATACAATAAAGAAAAACCAATAAACTAAGTCAACGGAGCTTCCAAGATTAGGAATCATAATTGTTGGGCTGTGAAGGAGCTTTCCAGAAACCCAGGGGCTGCCAGACAGACTTGACAGAGCAGTATATCTCTGTTAAAAAAACCAGCTTTCTATGATTGCCCATTCACAGGTTTTCATAGGTGGGAAAAGAGGATTCCCTCTGCATCATTCTGGCTAAAGTTCCCTGTGATGAGTTCCTTTTCTGCAACCCCCTAAAGCCAAACTGAAGGCAATAGGCGTTCCCTCATCACTGCACATTTCTTTTGGAAACCGTGTTACCGCATAACCAGGAGAGTCCGTTCCCTTCCTCTGGTCTGTTAAATGCACTTTTATTATGAAAGAAAAAGCAGTCCCGGGCAGCCAGCCAGGGCAGAGGAGGAGGAGAGGGCATCATCCGTCAGTCAGCTGGCATACTCTCCGCTTGCTTGTTAAGGAGAGGGTGGAAAGAAGCATCGTTGGCCCCGTTTGTACCTCGTTGACGACAGCTCCCAGAATCCCCCAGCCACTGTGGCCAGTTGACCATGGCAGGAACAGGATTCTGGAAGAGTGCTGTGCACCCTCAAATCATATGGCAATTTTATAATAGGGATTGTGAGGTGTGTGAGAGACGTTTAAGGAGTGGTTTTATCACGGACATCCTCACTCCAGGCTTCTTCAGGTCTCCTGAATCCTGATTTGCCCCTCTATCCACTACAGTCCAGTGGTCCCCAACCTTGGGCCTCCAGATATTCTTGGACTACAACTCCCAGAAGTCTTCACCACCACCTCTGCTGGCCAGGATTTCTGGGAGTTGAAGTCCAAGATCATTTGGAGGCCCAAGGTTGGGGGACCACGGCCCACCACTCTGGCACTGGAAGCAAAGGGAGAGCAGCTTCTTCAGCCACCTCTACCAAACGAGGAAGGGAGAGGGCCAGGCGTAGCTCTCCCAGGAGGCGATGCCAAAAAGATGATGCCGCCACCAACCAAGAAGGCCAGACGTCTTGTGGTGGAAGATTTCCTGGTCTCCTTTGGTGTAGACACCCAGAGGAACATAGGCTGGGAGGATCTGGTGGTAGAGGAGGATGGCCTTGGGGAGACTCTCTTCCGAGCACACAACTCACGGCCACGTTGGGCTGCTGTAGGAACATGTGGAATGAAGCCAGTGGTTTGCCCTGGTTTTGCTCACTTATGTGCAGTGGCTTTTCCCCTCTAGACCCGATGTACCTATGAACCTAAATAGCTCAGAGCTTTTGACATCGGGTTGCAAAGCCAGAGGTCGGGAGTTTGAATCCCCCCATCTGTGCCTCCTTGACAGGGGCTGGACTTGATGATCCCTGGGGGTCCCTTCCAGCCCTGCAGTTCGAAAGCTGTTGCTGGATCCGCAGGTAATTGTATTTCATGGATCCAGGACATGACAAAGGCTTTTCAGTGAAGCCTTGAGTAAGTCCGCTCCTTGTTGGCAATGTTGGACCACTGGCATTACTTTTCCACACAAAAGTGGTCTAATCCCCACCCAGTCAGATGCGCTTCGGTGGTAGAGGCAATTATTCATATTGATTTTGCAATCCCTCGATCCTGGTAGAGGTACGTTTTTAATTTCATGATCTACCTGTTTCTTGGGAACAAACGAACGGCCAATGAATGGGAAGGGAGAAGAAGTGAGAAACATCTGGAGAGAAACATCTGGAGTATCAAATGGATAAGAGCCTCTCTTCTTTGAATCAGGGACTTGAGACGTTTCAGCATCCGAACAGGTAGCACGCCCCTGGCAACTCCAGCAGAAACTGGGAGAAAACTTTTATCCTTGCGTGTGTTTTTTTTCACCCTGTGGGATCTGAGATACCATTTCAAGTAGAAGGCGTTGTAAGGTCCTTCCTTCCTTGCTCTCTTACTGGCACACGAATTTTGGCCATGGGGTGGGGCGGATGCTTAGAACGCTGTGTACTGAACTTACTTACCCCTGAGGAAACCCAGAGGCCTGTTATCAGCGCTGTAGGGAAATGTCTGACACCAAAAGAAACCTCGATAAGGCTCACCCGGGAAGACCTCTTGGCAAACTTGAGATGCACTTCTGTCACGAGGCCAAATCTTCCCGGCTGAACTTTTTACGTATTTGTATTGTGAAATGTATTCTTTATCAGCCAAAAAAGGGGTGTTTGCTGATTGTGGGACGGGACGCTTAGCATCATGATTCAAACCCCCACCTTCCTTCCAAATACAATTTGGGTAAGTTCCTTTTTTTGGACGACAGCCCGCAGAATCCCCCAGTGATCATAGTCACAAAAACGTTTTTATTTTTTTTGCTTAACTGTTATCACTTCAGACTGATGGGGAAAGGCCTATGATTAAACGCTTTTCAATTGAGATCAAACTTCCCCTCTAGAAAACAAGAAGAAACCAAGCCTCAACCCCTTCTCCCTCAAAATGTAGTTTTGTACCATGCAGGATTTTTCCCCCCTTTGTAAGAACCAGAACTGGAGAAGTTACTTTTTAAAAGCAATTCATTCCCACTCACTGACGTTTGAAAAGTATGCCGTGATTATTACCTGCTACAGTTTTTGGAGAAGTATTCTGTGAAGTTACTTGTGATGTGGCTGCTTTATGTTTTTTTAAGGGGATGCTTTCTTCCCCCCCCCCCGACACCTGCCCCTGAGGTTACTGATCATTATTTACTCCATTCTGCTGTGTTGTGCAGCTACGGAGTTGGCAGGGGGAAGCTTGGCACATAATTGGAGAAGGGAAACGAAGACTGATCCATACCTTTCCGGTTGCATCCTGAACAGGGACCAATGCATGCAGGTTAATTCATGAGGGCTAGCTACTTAATGGTCATGTGTACGCGACATATTCAAGAGCCTCCGAAGAAGGACAGTTGTATGCAAAGAAAGACATTTCGGAGGCTCAGCTGGGTTATATTGCAGTCTGTTGCAATAAAGACAGGAAAGAACCTTGCGGGACTTCAAAAACAGCACACTTTATTTGGCATAAGCTTTGGTGCAGTCACTTGTTTGGAGGCATCTGAAGCCTGAAAATTTTCTGGGCAGAATTCAAAGTGCTGGTTCTGATCTATAAAGCCCTAAACGGCTTGGGTCCAAGCTATCTCAAGGACCATGTTTCCATTTATGATCCTGCTTGGGTGTTCAGATCATCAGGAGAAGCCTTTATCTCGGTCCCGCCACCGTTGGCTGTGCATCTGGTGGGGACACAGGAAGAGGAACCTTCTCTGTAGCTGCCCCCAGACTGTGGAACTCCCTGTCACTGGAGGCCAGCCTGGTCCCGTCTTGGCTGTCCTTCTGCAAGCAGGCGAAGACCTTTCTATTCGCTCCAGCTTTCCTTCAAACGACTACCCTACCCAACTGGGGTTCTTAATGGCGTGTTGTGCCTTTACCATTTTGAACGTCTTTTTGATGTTGCTTTGGTTTACCTTTTTTTTAGTGTCGCCTTTGTGCGGTCCTTTTTAATATTTGTATACCTATTGTTTTTAGCTTCAAATATGGTCTTTTAATGATGCAAGCCTCCTTGAGTCGTTTTTTTAAGGGTGAAGTAAGAAATATTTTAAATAAATAAACAAATTAACACCAAAGTCAGCCTTTAAGGTGCGACAACATTCTTTTGACGGAGATGCGGCAGCAAACGTGCAAGTCGTGAAAGACGTTTCCTCATGAGAGCATTTGATTTTGTACCACTTTGTGTCTCTAAGTTTGCTCGCTTTGATTTGTGATGGGTTATTGGAAGGAAAACGCAGGGTCCCATTGCTGTGGCACATGTCTCCAAAGGAAGAGGGTTGCCCGAAGGGACAGACCAAGCATGCAGAAGCTGGGGAAGGCAAAGGTGCCATTCTGGAACTCGCTCCCCATTCCGCCTCTGGCCTCTCCGGTCACCATGCTTTGAAAGGGTGAACAACGAACAGCACGGCAGCCTGGACGGACGGATCTCTGTGCCCCCAAACATGAAGTGAATAACAAAATTAAAAGAGCATTTTTCTTAAAGTGTGGAGGGGGGGACATCAGCTCGCAGCTTCCTGATCCAAATGTAGAACGAAAACAGGATACTAAATGACCGCCACAAACAATGAAAATATTATCAGTGCAAATGTACAGAATTGACATGTCAGATAATAGCAGGACAAGCTCTGCTCCCCGTCCCCTCTTCCCTCCACCCCTTCCACTATGGCTTGCAACCGCTCAACGTCCGTGGCCCGTCCGACACCCGTCACAAGCCATAAATTACTCACAAACAACCCCTGAAGGCAGGAATGACCCCCGTGTAACATTTCCACTGAGTAATAGGAACTTCCTTACACACCGATAGCCCTTTCCTGTTTTGAGGTTTTAAAAAACTATTTACTCCTGCTCAGGTTATTTCGAGAGAAGCCGAATTCTTGTCTCTCCCTCAAATTCTTGTGCTGGGAAAAAAAAAAACATCCTTGTTTTGTCTCGTGTTTGTTGAGTCTCAAGCACATCTAAATACATGGATTGGGCCCAAAGCACTGACAAGGCAAAGCCTTTCTAGATCGAGGGCTTTCGTACATGCAATAAAAATAGCCTATTCTTATTTGCACATTCACAATTCTCCTATTTATCAGAGGGCA